TTATTCAGTATTCCGGTGCTGACAGTGTTTCACTGCTATTAATAAGGTTTTCAATGACTAAATATTCAGAAGTTGTCTGTCTTTCCTTCTTTCTAGTCTGTCTTCATCTGGAAACTCAGCTGAAACTTTTCCACCATGGGTGATCTTGCTAGTCTTTACAATACCTGTGGTAAAGCTTCCAGAATCACAGCAACATGGAAGTCACTACAGTAGGAAAAACTGACAGATGAGTGGTGGCTTTTTCAACATACATCTAGATATTCAAGACCTTTTGAGAACTGGTTTTTCATTTTTGTAAATTAGGCTGTTTGAATTTTAATGTGGATTGTACTGAATCTATAGATAGCTTTGAGTATTGGCATCTTAACAATATCAAGTCTTCTAATCCATAAATATGGACCATTGTTCCATTTATTTAATTCTTCTTCAGTCTCTTTCAGCACTACTTAAGTTTTCATTGTACATGCCTTTCACATCCCTGTTAGATTTATTCCTAGATATTTTATTTTAGATGATAATGTAAATGCAATCATGCCCCTATTTTCAATTTTAGATTTCTCACTGTTGGTCAATTCAGTATATTAATAAAACATCTCATCAAAATAATGGTGCTATACAATCAAGTTGATTTTTCTGGCACTATTATTGGGTTTGACATGTAAAGCTAGGTATATTTCATTGCCATGAAAATCATGAGACAAAAACATTTTATTGCAGAACTTAGGAACTCTCAGTAAGGTCATAGCCAAGCTGGTGTCCAGGATTTGCATCAGTTCAATAAACATCAGACAGCATTGTTGTGATGCGAATCTGAGATGGGCAGGTCAAAAAAATTTTGAGGGACCAAAATTGCACCTATAAATCTGTTAATAATATTTCAGTCAAAAGTCTGATCCTATGTAGGAAACACACTGTCATCTTTTGTAAAGGGTTGTTGTTGTGAAGTGCCATCAAGTCGATTCCGACCCATAGCGTCCCCATATAGGGTTTCCAAGGAGTAGCTGATGAGCTTGAACCACTAACCTTGTGGATCAAAACGACTTTGCAGTCCAGCACATTAACCCACAGCACCACACCAGGAGTCCTTGTAAAGGGTTGTTGTTGTTGTTGTTGTTAAAGTGCCATCAAGTCAGTTTTGACCCATAGAAACCCTCTGTAGGGTTTCCAAGGAGCAGCTGGTGAGCTTGAATTGCCAACCTTTCAGTTCAAACGGCTTTCAGTCTGGCACGTTAACCCACAGTGCCACACCAGGACTGTAAAGGGTTAAAGGTCTTTAAATCCCTGATGAGTTGGCTCCCTGTTAATGATGTTCCATTTCTACCATTGTGTTTATGGCTTCCTGCTTCCCATATCCAACTGTATTTTAGTTATGTTCATTCTATTTTGTTGTTGCTGATGTTTCAAGTATGTCATACGTCTCTACATTTTGTTGTTTTTTTTTTTCCAATATTATCAGCTTGCTTTACTGAACTTTCTATTGTCTTATCAACTCTTTGTACTCTCTTTTTAGTGTAGTCATGCTGTCTTCATTTCTTTGAGACTTTACAAAACTCTTTGCCAGAATTCTTTTACTGTTTTCTTAAATAATTCCTCTTTAATAATTCACATGTCCTGAGCTATCTATCTCTTTCTGATTATTAATTGAATAGGGTTACTATTTAATTGCATGAAGAGGTGTAGCTGAAGATGTGTCAGTATATAGGTGCCATTGAGTCAGTACCAACCCATAGCGACCCTATGCACAACACAACAAAACACTGCCCAGTCCTACGCCAACCTCATTATTGTTGCCATGCTTGAGCCCATTGATACTGCTACTTTGCCAGTCTATCTCACTGGGGTTCTTCCTCTTTTACTCTGACCCTCCATCTTACCAAACATGATAACCTTCTACAGCAACTGGTCCCTCCTGACAAAATGTCTGAAGTATGAGAAACAAAGTTTGTCCATCTTGACCTCTAAGGAGCACTCTGGCTGCACTTCTTCCAACACAGATCTGTTGGTTCTTTTGGCAGCCCATGGCACTTTCAATATTCTTCTACAACACCATAACTCAAAAGCATAAATTCTTCTATGATCTTCCTTATTTACTGTTCAGCTTTCACATGCATATGAGGCTACTGAAAATACCATGGCGTGGGTCAGGTGCACCTTATTCCTCAAGCTTACATAGTATATACACATGCTCTCTCAAATATTTTCTCATCAAACTAGTTCTTACACATTAAGGTTGTATCTTCTTCCAGCTTTTGACATTTAAGAGATTCATGGGACCCACACAAAGTCCCATTGTTATGTTTTTCTATGTTATAAATAAATTTCTCTCCTTTGTTATGGTCACTGCTTCCTCTGCCCTCATTGCTGGCAGCCTCTGTGGTCTAGGTTACTAGTTGAATATAATACAGATGGAATATTGTTCATCTTCTCAGTTTTCACCTCGTCTGTTACACTCTGGTGCTATGGACATATTCCTTGCTCTTCTCATGGTCTAGAGTGACTCTGTTTTTTTCTCACCATCTCTTTCAGGATTATTGTAGTTATTTTTAGTGAAATCTGTTTCCTGGTTGAGGTCTGAGGTGTCAGCTCTTCAGATCTCTCATTAACACCTAGATTTAAGAATAGTTGGTTGAAAGGATAAGCATTGGACTGCTGACTACAAAGTCAGTGGTTCAAATCCATCAGCTGCTCCTTGGAAACCCTACATAGTGTCGCTGTGAGTCGGAACAACAACTATCATCATTTGTGACTTGAGATTATGGTTATTCTTTCTCTATTTCTAATTTCTTTTGTTGCACTGGTGAGTTTCACCAAAGGGTAATAATGTAAAAATATTCTTTTACTTTGCTATCTTTAACTGAAAGTCTTAGTTTTATTCTGAATCTTTAACCCAAAACAGAGGTCATATTGATCAGGAGTTGTGTAGTTTCAATAATACATTGAGATAGTGTATTCATCTCTAGAGGGGTTGTAGCTTCTATAAAACATACAAATAAATAAAAGTACATCTTCACATTTAAGGATCTCCTGGATGATAATTTTCCAGGGGTTATATTTACTTTTTGGAAAAAATAGCAAATGCATTTATGTATATATGTTTTTGTTGTTAAGTGCTATCAAGTCAGTTCCTACTCATAGTCCCTGCATAGGGTTTCTGAGGAGCAGCTGGTAGGTTTGAACTGCTGACCTTATGGTTCGCAGTCCAGTGCTGATGCTACAGCACCATACCATAGAGGCATTAAAACATCATCAGTGAAGTGCTTTCTCAGAAGTCAAATGATGTATATTTAAAAAGTAGTACCTGTTCTGATTTCCTTTTTCTATGACCTGAAAGTAAGAAGGCGGTGTGTTCGAAAATATAAAAATATTTCTTGGTGACGTATAAGTAGCTGGGACTATGAACTTCTGTTCAGAAAATACAATTAATAATAAATGCAATATATCAAACTAGTTTTATTTGTGCTCAGTTTAAAAATATTTATTTTTAGTGAGAGGCCTTCCTCTCACTAAAGGAAGGATGTTGGAGGAAGTTGGAGAAGCCTGGTTATCAAACTAATAAGAAGGAAAGAAAATATTGCAAAATGAAAAAAGGCATATCTAATTTAGAGGCCAAGAAGGCATTTAAGTATATTTCATTAATATATTTTTTTAAATTATTGGGTAAAGAAATTCTTCCATAATCTGTGATTTTCCAAGTAGTCAAGCACAGATATATTTAAGAAAGAATTCCAGGGAAAATAATCAAGCAAACAAATAAACAAAAAACCCAAAAGGGTTCCATATGCAAGTAACCTAATTTCACTCTCCAATATGTCTACACCAGGGCTGATTTTTCTAAGCAGTCATAAAATTTGGCCAAGGAATGGAGTTTGGACTTAACACAACATCACTGGCAACCTCAGTTAACCTACTAAGTCAGCCAGGCTTGGACCACTTTTTCCCTAGTTGGCTGCTGTTTGGTTTTCTTTACCCAGCTCTCTCTGCAGATTGTTAATTATCCCCGCAGCCGACACATTCCTGCCTCCGCCTCATGGGCTTTCCTCTGAAATCTTTTGCCAGCCCTATTCTGAGTGCTCTCTCAAGTCAGTTTCACCAAAGTAGTGGCACCATCCTGCTCACTCCCCACAATCAACCATTTTCATCACAAAATAGGCTAGTAGAGCAATCTCCTGATTTAGAAAGGTTCTTACTGTTTTTCTTCTGGAGCCTGGTGTTCCAGGGGGGCCTGGCCAGCCTCTTCTACCCTATTAAAAGAACAAGCAGACAGTGATAGTAATTACACAGTATTAAAACATTTCCTCTTTAATATCAGCTTATAGTGTTCTGTGGAAGATAAATGGGTATATGCCGAGGAAACAGTTGTTTTCTCTTTAGAACATGACATTGCTTCCATTGGTCATAAATCACATCTTTCTTTGGGTAATGAGGAATGCCAGGACAAAAATGTTAATGACATGGCTTCATTATTTCATAACCACTGTCTAACTTGTGTTTGGGATATATGTCACAGGGTATTCAAACATATAGTCTATGTGCTCAATGATACATGGTACATATCAGGAGTATGGCTACTACTGTTTTGTATTTCAACCTTTGAATTTTCTGGTCCTTTTGGCTAACCTGTGTAGATTGTCACCTTTGTGAATAAAATCTCAGAATCCTCACAAGCCTTCCCAAGAAATAAAAGTGGGAAATAAAGTATCGGTCTACTTTGAGACTTTTGTATTTGATGTAATAACAACAGCAGACAACATTTACTTAAGGTTTGTGATGTGACAGAATGAGTCATTGAATCCCCATATAATCCTCAAAAGGAATCTACCTATCCTATTTTTGTGATGAGAAAATTGAGGTCTAGAGAAAGTGGCTCAATACTACAGAACTGGTAAGGGGCAGAGCAGTTGACAGGACCTAAAAGTCTGTTCCCAAAGCAAAATTCTTTCCATTGTGTAGGAGTTCTTTCCTTAGCAGGGTCGTAAAGGACTTCCTAATCAAGGAGGTCCAGACACACATCTTCCAGGTAAATAGCTATTTTTCTAAGTCCTGAAAAACAACTTAGGCTGACCAAATTGTGACTTGCAATATTCATGAGATGAATCCTAAGAGACTTGCCTCTAGGATACAGGCCATACAGACCTACCAGATCTTGTTCTTGACCATGCAATACCAGTAACATAATGCCTTTTTAGAGCATATATTTTCTGGATAGTGAGAAGACCAAAATTCTTTGGCTAGCACAGTTCTTTCTGTCAGGTAGCTCTAAATTTTCATTTAGAATTTAAATGTTTGCATTTGTGAATGAAGAGCTCAGGGGTATGGCTCGGTGAAGCAAGTCACCGCAAATTCAGAGGACAAAGAAAAGAATGTCTTTTTGATCCCAAAGTGACAGAAAACCAGTTGAAAAAGATCCATTTGCTCCTAGAAAGTTTTCATTTATCAAGTATAGCCAATAGGATTCCTAATTCTTTATCATTGGCTTCATGATTCATCACTATATACTTCAACCTCATGTTGTCCCATCATCACGCTAAAAGTCTTTGCTCAAATGCCCACATAATTACTTGTCTTCCATTTTCTCCTTTGAAGCCCTTGGATCCTTGTACATTATTGTCAAATCCAGGAACTCCCTAAAAACAGACAATAAAAAGAACAAATGAGCATATTTTGAGCATTTCTCCTTAACAATGTAACTTATGTAGAATACATTTTACCACCCCACAGAAGGTTGATGGGAGAAGTCCAACCCATTTGAGAGTATGTTATTGTTAATTGCCATCGAGTTGGTTCCGACCCATAGCAACCATATATAGGGTTTCCAAGGAGCAGCTGGTGAGCTAGAACTGCCAACCTTGCAGTTCAATTGGCTTTGCAGTCCAGCTCATTAGCTCACAACGCCACACCAGGACTCCATTTGAAAGTATTGTTATTGTTGTTAAGTGCTGTTGAGTAAGTTCTGACCCATAGCGACCCTGTATAGGGTTTCCAAGGAGCAGCTGGTGAGCTTGAACTACCAACCTTGCAGTTCAAACGGCTTTGCATTCTGGCGCATTAACCCACAGTGCCAAGATAGGATGAAATCACAAAAGTGCTTTCTTTCCCTCCTGTGCTTTGCATTGTCAGGATGAGAACAGAGACCTGAGTTAAGTGTTTGAGGATAAATCAAGCACTCACTATAGAAGGCACAGACGCAAGGGAAGGAAGGGTGACATGACCTGTGTTTAAGACCATTCTTATGCTAGGTCCAGAGGTGCACGTTTCTGGTACTACAACCTCATATCTTAGCTTTCCCTTTTATTCCTTGGGGACTACACACATTTATAGTTGAGGATTGGCAGATGTTACTAATATTTACCCTCCTGTCAGTTTGTCATACTGTGGTGTCTTGTGAGTTGCTGTGATTCTGAAAGCTCTGCCTCCGGTATTTTAAATACCAGCAGGGTAACCCATGGTGGACAGGTTTCAGATGAGCTTTCAGACGAAGACAGACTAGGAAGAAGGAGTGATGAACTATTTCCGAATATTTAGTCACTGAAA